GTGTGTGTGTGTGTGTGTGTGTGTGTGTGTGTGTGTGTGTGTGTGTGTGTGTGTGTGTGTGTGTGTGTGTGTGTGTGTGTGTGTGTGTGTGTGTGTGTGTGTGCGTGCGTGTGTGTGTGCGTGTGTGGCAGCTGTTGTGAGGCTATGCTGTCGCAGATGGATGCGTTCCAATGGCATGTCCATAAAAGCAAGCACAAGCACGCACACGCAAGCAAGCAAGCACGCACACACGCAAAGCAACGAACGTTGTATTTGTAGATTTGGCCGTTGTGGAAGAAGAAGAGGGATGGGTAGCCGCGGACGCCAAACCGTTCGCATGTCAGGCGGTTCTTGGTGCAGTCGACCTGGGCAGTGTGCATGTGTGTTTTCGTGTGTTTATGTGTGTGTGTTTATGTGTATTTACGTGTGTGTGTTTATGTGTGTGAGTGTGTTTACGTGTGTTTGTGAGTTTACGTGTGTTTGTGTGTGTTTGTGTTTATGTGTGTGTGCAGTTGTAATCTCTGGCTGCAAGATATTCTCTCCCCCACGCTTGATCCCTCTGTCTCTCTTTCCACTCTCTTCCCACTCCCCCTCCACTTCCCCTGTGTCTGTCTGCAAGGGTTCAGCCTCAAACAACGCATAACACAGTACCTTGGCGATGTTCACGTTGCTCTCCTTGACCTTGTCCGCGAGTTCATCCCACACGGGGGCGATGGCTTTGCAGAACCCACACCTGTGCATTGGTGCGCAACATTAACAACAACAAGACATGCGCGTGTGAGCACGGAACAAGACATCCGTGTGAGCACGGACAAAAAATTCAGTCACAGCGGTAAGAACGCACGCACTCATACACACACACACACACACACACACACACACACACACACACACACACACACACACACACACACACACACACTGACCATGGAGCGTAGAACTTGATGAACCAGTCACCAGTGGTAGCACCGGAGGAAATCTAAGGCAGAAGCACGGGTAGTGGTGCAAAAGCAATGAGAACAGGCAACCCCACATCGTCGCAAGCTTAAACACACAGACATACAGACATACAGACATACACACACACACACACACTGACGTGGCATTCGACATGATGCACCCCTCACAAGCATCCGCACTCCACATCCACAACACACCGCACCACACTCCATCCACCACCTGAGTGTCGTGTTCGAAGGTCTCGTCTGTGAGAACGACGACGTTGGAGGTGCTGTCATCGCTGCTGTCGCTGGCAGCCCGCACGCTGGCGGGGCTTGTCAGTGCAACAGCAACCACCAGCAGCAGAGTCACCGCCGCTGTCACCATCAACGACCTTGTTGCCATCTTGCCTTCTTCTTGGTTGCTTTTGGTTGTCGTCGTGGCAGTTGGCAGTTGTGGTGGTAAAAATAAATACGTTACATTTTGGTTTGATGCACTTAAGCCGGAAAACCCGCTGAGTCAGCAGATTTTGGTACGTCTTGTTTTTCTTTGCTTTGTTTGGGTTTTTCGCCTGCACAGCGAAACAAGACGCGCACTTTCCTCTTGACCGACCAACAAACACAAACGCGGCGATCGCTTTTTTTCACTGACAACAAGGTCCATCACCCTGCGCGCCAGGCCAACTTGCACACACCAAACGCTTGTCGCCCATTCCTGCCACCTGATCCTGCACACACACGAGCTCACACGCACCCATCCTCACACACGCAGGGACGACTGATCTGGGATCTTGATTTGTTTGTCAGCGGAGAAGAAGAAGAAGGAAGAAGGAAAGAAACAGACGAAAGAAACAAACCAACAGACACCAAGAAGAAGTGAAGCAGCCAGCTTCACTTTGTGTTTTGCTTGCTTGCTTGCTCGCTTGGGATTGTGCATCATCAGCATGGAGCCGCAAGAGCAGCAGCAAGAGCAGCAACCCACCGCTGGCGCTGCGCCCTCCCTCCAGGAAACCATTGATCTCCTCACGGCGGTGAGTGTGTGTGTGTGTATGTGTGCGATAATGTGTGTGTGTGTTAGCGATAGTGTGTGTGGAAAATGGCATGTCTGTCACGGATCGAGACTTGTGGTTGCTTGCTTGCTTGCTTGCTTGTTTGGGATGGCTTGTGATCTTGAAGTCTGCTGCTTGACGCTTGCGCTTGCTTCCTTCCTCATCCGCTCACACACACACACACACACACACACACACACACACACACACACACACACACACACACACACACACACGACGGCCTTTATCGTCAATCGGCAAATGTGGAACAGGGCCCCCTTAAAAACGGGGGTGAGAGGATGGGATTGCACAACACCGTTAGCTAGCAATAAGGGGCCAGGCTGTTTACTAGCCCCTTCAGCAATGTATTTCCGAACTATGACTGGACCCCAGCACTTGTTCAATAAAAATGCAGTTGAAAGAGTCATAGGTTGTGTTGTAGCCGTACGAGGGGAGTACAGTTCCTTAGGTGACTGATAGAGAGACAACCAAATCGGCGCTGTTTTCTGCGGTGCATCACTACTTGCGTATGGGCCCTAAAGGACTAACACAAGTTCCCACATTTAAATAAATTAAGAATAGTAATTCACGCCCAACACCACCTACTTCACACACACACACACACACACACACACACACACACACACACACACACACACACACACACACACACACGCAACGATTTGGCAGGAGCTCAACCAGTGGAAGGAGAAGGCAGGGGCTCTGGAAGACCAATGCGCCACCCTGCAGGCCAAAGTGACGCAGCTCCAGTTTGAGTCCGACAACGAGGATGGTGCGTGTGCGTGTACGTGTGCGTGCGTATTGTGAAAGTATGCATTTGTGTGCAGTGTATATTCTCTCCCGCGTCGTCATGCATGCCAGTCACCAAGCCCTGTCCTCTCTCCGCCCATACGATGCATCTCAGATGACGACGATGAGGCTGAACAGCAGCAGAAGATGGAGCAAGCCGCGACGCTTGCCCAGATGTGCCCCGACGTCGTCATGGACACCAAGACGCGCTTCTTTGACTTTCGCTACTCCGTGCTGCCAAAGAACCTCACCAGGTGTGTGTTTGAATGTTGGGTGGGTGTACCTATCTGCTTGTGAGTGTGTATGTTGTGTGTGTGTGTGTGTGATTGCACGCGTCTCTTTCCCCCTCCCTCCCTCACACACACACACACACACACACACACACACACACACACACACGCCACCGCTGTTGCAGTGTTGGCGACAGCAACGTGCGTCTGGACACCAGCTCCAAAGGCGCATCTTGTGTCACCATCCCGCCAAAGGTCGGTTGAACACGCTGTACAGACGCATGCGAATGCATCTGTGTGTCTTGCAGGGATTCACGTGAATGCGTTGATATGCATGCACAACACGTCATTCGCACACACACACACACATGTGCATGGACACCCGCATGGTGTCGCGATGCATTCCTCACCGCGGCCGCCTTCCACTTGCAGACGTACTTGAAGGTTGACACTGGCTACGCAGACGACGAGGAGGCGCGCATCAGCCAGTACACCATCGTCCTCGACATCAAGGTGCGCATTGGTTTGCATGTTGGTTGGTGATTTGTTTGGTATTATTTGATGGCGCTGTGTTGGGGTGGGCCAGACTCGGCTCTGCAATTCCTCACACATTTGCACACACACACGCACACACACGCACATTCACACACACACACACACACACGCACACACACACACACACACACACACACACACACACACACACACACACACGCACGCACGCACACATTCACACAACATTCACACAACATTCACAAATTCACACACACATTCACACACACATACACACACACATGCAGGTTGACCTGAGCAAGATGGATCAGCCCGTGGCGCTGTATCAGGCGTGCTACCCGGACCAGAAGGAGCACAAGACGGTGCAGGCGTACCTGTTGCCGACAGGACAAGTTGTAACCAAGCTGCCAAAGGAGAAGAAGAAGAAAGACAAGGAGAAGAAGGAAGGAAATGAGGGCGACGAAGACGATGAGGATGAAGACGACGAGGACAAAGAGGAAGAGGAAGAGGAAGAGGAAGATGCCGCGAACAAGGTACTTGATGCGAGAACTTGGGTGATGGTTGCACCTCTGTACCGTCATGGGTGTTCCGTTGTGGGTTTTGCAACCCCTTGTTTGCCACAGCTATCCACTTCACTCACCAACATGTGCTTGCATTCCTGTTTGCATGGGACGCACCAGCGGCGCAAGAAGAAGCAAGAGCCACCAGCTCTCGTCAGGAGGTGTGTATATATGTGTGTGTATGTGTATGTGTGTGTGTGTGGAGGATATGTGCTTTGTGTGGGTTTGCTTGTGAGTTTGTTTTCTGCTTGCAACTGAACTATGTAAGCTTACCCCACCGCACCATGCCACTGTCACTGCTTGATGGGTGTTTCACAGCAACCGGTGGCAGCGCGTGACGCTGACGGTGCGTCCTGGCGCCGTGTCCGCTTTTGTGGAGGGCCGCATCTCCAGCAAGGACACCGACGTGTACCGCAACATCAAGCAGGCTTGGGCCATGGACCCACGTGGCTTCCTCCTCTTTGCAGGTTGTTTTGCTTGCTTGCTTGTTTGCTTGTTTGTTTGTTTGGTTGGTTTTTTGTTTGTTCGCCTGTGCGTTTTGCTTTGCTTGCTTTTGTATGTGTGTCTGGATGCTGGGGATTGTGGCCATGGCGTAACGACTCACACGACACTGTACACACACACACACACACACACACACACACACAACCCCCCCCTTAACCCACGCCATCCATGCACATGTGCTGCAGCGAACAAGCCCGAGCACATGCCTGGTGGGGTGAGTCTTCGACTGGCGCAGGTCATCTCGCAGGCGTGGGGCGACGAGGAGGTGAAGCAGAAGAACTCCAACCACAAGGCCGTCGACATTCGCGGCATGCGCATGGCAGCAGACATGCACAAGATGATGTCCAAGCTCGTGCTGGCGCCACTCAAGCTCACCCCAAAGCCGGTCCCCTTCTTCCGCGACACCAACCTCATTGCCGAGTTTGGCGACCCCTTTGTCGAGAACACCGTAAGTGTGTGCGTGTGTGTGTCTGTCTGTGTCTGTCTGTGTCTGTGCTTGTCTGTCCTTGTGGACAAACAATCTCTTGCGTGTTGCATTACCCATGCCCCTGTCCCTCATCACACACCTTCCTTCCCCATCTTCAATCCTTCATTTTCCAAACACACGCGCGCTTTGTCTGCTGGCAGGGCTATGAGTGGGGCCAGGCGTATTCCGCTGCGCGCGTGTACTTGCTGACGCTCAAGCGCATGCGCAGCGAAGAAGTGAACGTGCTGTCTCATCTTGGCTTTGGGCAGTCGCACTTTGACTGCTTGCAGCGGCTGCAAGCCTCCATCGAGGCCTCCCTTCCCCTCTACAAGAAGATGCACGTGAGTGGCACTCTCGTGTGCATGTCTGGCGCGCGCGCGCGCGCGTGTGTGTGTGTGTGTGCGTGGTGTCAGTGTGTGTGTGCGTGGTGTCAGTGTGTGTGTGCGCGCGTGTGTGTGTGTGTTTGCTTTCTGTCTTGTGAGTGACTTGTTGTCTCACCCCCTCCCCACCACCACCCTCTTTCCCTCACCCGACTTTCCTCCCTCTCCTGCTCCTTCCCTCCTGTGCTTGTTGCTGCCTTCATCGCAACAGATGCTGCAGAAGAACAACGACGCCTCTGGCGGGCTCGCGCGCTTCCTCAAGGCGCTCAGCAAACAGTTTTTGGCAATGACACCCGGCGACTTTCTCCTCGTCCCTGCTGTTGTCGTTGTTTAAGTTGTTGTTGTTGTTCTTTGTGGTGGTTTCAAGCTTCACGTGAAAGTCGTACATGGAATCTCTTGATTGCTCGTTCACTTGCTTCCTTGCTGACCCCTCTCACCAATCCTCCCCCAACACACACACACACACACACACACACACACACACACACACACACACACACACACACACACACACACACACACACACACACACACACACACACACACACACACACACACACACGTACATGTTATGACAGAACGAAACGGACGGCGACCCGTTTGGCCCGGCGTGGAAGGCGTATGGCAAGCAGTGCGAGACCATCATCACCACGGCCCCAACCATCTCCGTCACCAAGAGCCTCACCCTCGACTACTTTCGGGTGCGTTTGCCGAATGCGAAAGCACTGAGTGTATGTGTGTGTGCGTGTATGCATGAGCGTTTCGTTTTTGTTTCATTTTTGTTTCATTTATTTTGACATCTGTCCAAACTCATTCCACACCCCCATTCATTCCCGTCCATGACCCTCTGCCGCAGGATCTGCACATTGGGGATCACAACGAGATTTGGTCGTTTGAGAAGGACAGCTACCGCATGACGCCGGAGCAGTCCACCCTCAAGTTCACCCACCTCATCGGCAGCCCGCTTGGCTGCACCATCAACATCCGCACCATCACAGGTTCGTGTGTGTGCATGTGTGTACGCATGTGAGCTTGCTCTTGAGCATTTCATTGTGCATGGTTGTTCTTGCGCCGTTTGTGAAACTACACGCAAGTCTCTCGTCAACGTCTACAACAACAACAACCAACTCCCCCCTCTCTCCCTTCCTTATTTTCTTCACCCCACCGCCCCGCCCTTATTCCTTCTTTGTGCTTGGTCGGCGGTTCAGGGGAGGACCCAACGGTGACGCGCATCTGGCCGGAATACGTGCCGTACCGCGACATCAACTACTGGTTCAAGTACTTTCTCTGCCCGCACAACGAGCTCATGCCCATGCGCCCGGGCAACTACACCACCCCGCGCGGGCGCCTCAACTGGCGATACGAGGCGTCCGAGAACGCGCTCATCGTCGGTGCGTGCGCGTGCGTGTGTGTGTGTGCATGTGCATGTGTGCAAATGCACTGGAATCGCCTCTTGCGGCTGTCGTGTCCACGCCTCTGTGCTGAACTGTCATTTGCCACCACATAACACTTGCTCATCCAAACACATGCAATCCAAAACAACAACAACAACAACAACAACAACAACAACAACAACAACAACAACTTAAACAACAACAACTTAAACAACAACTTAAACAACAACAACAACTTAAAAACAACAACAACTTAAACAACAACAACTTAAACAACAACAACAACAACAACAGGCGCGCACGGTGTGCAGGACTTTATGGAGAATGTGCGCTACTCTGGCGGGCTTCGCGGCAGCAACCACCGCTGGCCCTCAAGCGCCAACCCGATGTCGTTTACAAAACCCCACGACGCGCGCACGGAGGACGACGTGCTGCACGTGCAGACCATGCCGGACTTTGACGGCCAGCTTGGCCAGCGCGACTCGGAGCTGCTCATCTCTTTCCTCACGGTGCCGTACATCCGCATCCCGCTCGTGCTGAACTTCTTCGCCACGGAGGACCGCATCCACACGCTGCAGCACCAGCAGCTCGTCGACCTTCTCAACTCGGTCGTCTTTGAACCGGGCAGATACATCCCATCAGGTGTGATGTGTGTGTGTGTGTGTGTTTGTGTGTGTGTGTGTGTGCGTGTGTGTGTGTGTGTTTTGTGTGTGTATTTTCTTGTGCGTTGTTGTATGTGTTGATTTGTGCGCGCTGCCGCTCACTTCAACCCCCCCCCACCCCCCCCCCCTCCGCTTCCTTCATCAGCCGTGTCGGATGAGCTGCGCATGCCCACGGAGGTGCCGACGCTGATTGCAGACCAGCTTGCCTCGCCATACTCGGCCATCATCAACGAGGTGGTACACTCCCCGGCGCAGCTGCGCGACGTTGCGGTGAAGCTGCTCAAGCTCGCCCTCAGCCTGGACACCGGGTCCGCCTTTGCCACCACGCAGCCCGTGGCCACCGCCGTTGTGCTGCTCGTGGCGCGCATCGAGACGGTGTTCTCCTTTGTCTACCACACGACGCTGCCCATCCCCAATCTGCAGGTGTCGCCGGAGAACCGTGCCACCATTGGCGACGCGTGCCAGCAGCTGCAGGCGCTCCTGCGCGGAAACCCGGACAACCCCACCGCCATGAGCGCGCGCCACATGTTCCACATGTGGGTGGAGGAAATCGAGGGTAAGATGCCCGGCCTGTCGGCGTTTGGGTCCACCAGCTCCTCTGCCGGCGGCGCCCCTTCGGCCGACGACCGCCAGCGCGCGAACCAGCTCACAAACTACACGGACCTCGCCTGCACCCTGCACGCGCACATTCTCTGGCTCTACCGCGGCCTTCCTGCCGAGGGCATGACCTTTGACAGCTGCGCCACCATCCTGCGCAGCTTCATCTACCTCAGCATCAAGAAGACTTGGAACACCTGTACGTTTGTGTTGTCGTGATTGTGCGTTTTTTGTTTGGGTGTGTTTGTGTGTGTGGGTGTGGGTGGGTGGGTGTGGGTGTGCTTGTATGTGTTTTGTTGTGTGTGGTTTGTGTAGTTTGATTTAGGGTTGTGCGTGTGCGTGTGTTGGTTGATTGCAAACATTTGTTGGTTTGCTTTGGTTTGCTTGCTGTGTGTGCTTGGCTCATCAGCAACCGTCGCACACCACTCGCTGTATCCCTCCCCACTCCCCCAACACACACACACACACACACACACACACACACACACACACACACACACACACACACACACACACAGCTGGCAAGCCGGCCATCCCCGACACGGAAGTGTTTGAGATCATGCACACGCTGCGCAGCGGGCTAGTGTCCTTCCTCAACCGGTACCTCGGCGCTGGCGTGCCCTCCAGCGACCGCGCCCGCTTTGCTGCCACGCTGCAGCAGGCGTACGAGCACTGCATCGGCGCCTCCGGCACCGCCAGCGAGCTGGACCAGGTGTGGTGCGCTGTGGAGGGCGAGGTGAACCGAGGCCGGTACGTCACCTCGCGCCACCCGACCATTCGCGACGTGGCCCAGACGCGCGTGCCCACGGTGAAGGAGGGCGTGTACGCGGTGGAGATTGACCTGCAGACGCTGGAGCTGCGCATGCGCGGCACGTCGCTGCGCGCGCTCGACTCTGAAATTGCCAACAACGGCGACATCCAGTTTCTCTTTGGGGAGCAGGCCCGCATGATCCAGTGCACGGTGGAGGGCACGTACGAGAACAAGCGCAGCCGCTTCCTCGTCGGCCTCGGCTACCAGCTCGACTTCTGGACAGACGACTCCAAGCTCAAGCCCATGTACGAGACGTACGACCGCGAGTACGACCCGGGCGAGCTGTTCCAGAGCGAGGAGTGGATTGCGGAGGTGTTTGAGCCCGTGCGCCGCGCCTGGTTCTGCCGGCCCGCGGCCCGCGAGGACGTGCCCTTCTTCCTGCCGGAAGAGGAGTTCCCGCACGACACCTCCGTGGCCCTGCTGGTGGGCTCCCACCCGCAGTTTGGCCGCGACTGGTTTGAGGTGCTCGTGTTCAAGGCATACCGCATGTGCCACGCCTACCTGGTGACCAGCCACGGCCGCAGGTACTACCGCACCCTCGTCTACGCCACAGACGCGCGCATGTCGCTGCGGGACATGCAGCCGTCCACGGAGGACCGCAAGCAGCCCTGGCCCATTGTCAACACGCCCCGCGGCGCCTGGCAGTGGGGGCGACACGAGGCGTTTGACAAGTCCTTCCCAGACTACGTCGCCAACCTGTACCCGCCACCGCACCCGGCCTCCTGCGTCGTGCAGCGGCCCCTGGCAGACCCGACCCTCTCAGACTCTGAGGAGCACGCGGCGGAGGTGAAGCTGGTGGACACGCTAATGGCCCCGCTCTCCACGGCGCTGCGCGACCTGCTGGAGGTGTTCAGCGAGGTGGAGACGTCCACCCGCCGCACGTACGCCGTGCCGGAGCAGCTGCTGGGGGGCGCCGCTGCCGCCTACGCGGAGCTGGACAAGCTCCTGTCCACCACGGAGAAGCACGAGTACTTCCGCGAGCTCGATGACGAGGACGAGGACGACACGTCGCTGCGCGGGATGCGCGCAGGTCCCGCCCAGCGCAGCGCTCTCGTGCAGCTGCAGAGCGTGCAGCGCGCTGCGCGCGAGATTATCAAGACAGTGCAGGCCGTGCACAAGACGATGCGGGAGAAGGAGGAGGCCGCCAGCGCCGCGGAGGCCGGTGATGTGGTCGACGACCTCGGCGACGACGACCTGGGCATGGAGCAGGAGGAAGAGGAGGACGAGGATGAGGACGAGGACGCATATGCCATCTACAAGGAGCCGTGGGACGACCTGCGGCCGCACGACCACTACTTCTACGAGAAGAACGAGTGGTACCTCACGCGCCGCATCGAAGAGCACGGCATGGAGTGCAGCGAGTGCGAGGAGGCCATCCCGGCCAAGTCCGTCTGCTACTACGACATGACCGAGGGCTGCGCGCTGTGCTCGCAGTGCGTGGGCAAGGAGCCGCCCTACTACGTGGTGATGGACCACGCCAAGGAGCTGCGCAAGCACGCCTACGACGCGCAGCGGCTGTGCGAGGCGGACGTGGCCAAGCAGGAGACGTACATCCCGCCGCGGCTGCTCTACGGCATGATCCCCTCCGCGCTGCTGGAGAAGTATGACTTCTGGCAGGACCCGGACGACCGCCTGCGCGGGTACCCGCGCAACACCGCGCCAACACAGGCCACCAACCTCATCTACGTCACCTTCTCCAAGCTCACGCGGCAGCCGGAGCTCGGCCTGCCGGGCGTCAGCGCCACCATCACCAAGCGCTGCATTGTCCCAGAGACGGAACAGCAACATGATGACAACGGGGAAGAAGAAGGAAAGGAAGAAGAAGTCGGAGACAGTGGACAAGGCGCCACTGCTGCTGCCACCACGACAACGCAGACGACAAAGGCGAAGAAGAACAAGGCGGTTGCGACCGCGTCTGCTGAGGAAGAAGACCTGATTTACTTCAACCCGCTGTTTGCACCGAGCGATGGCCCCGTTGGCTCGCTCATCCGCATCCTGTCCCGCGTGGAGAACCTGTCGCACGTGCTGTTCTGGGGCCGCGCCTCCAAGCCTGGCCTGGACCTGTACCGCATTGAGCTGCCGCGCCTGGGGCTGACGTTCCAGGAGCGCGTGGGCGGGGACGGCGTGCGCCGCATGTACTCGCTAGACCACGCCTCGCTCTTCCTGCCCATGGTGGCGCCGGGCGGGCACGTGCAGCAGCTGCTGCGCGGCATCCCGCACTCCATCTGCCTGGTGACGGAGAATGGCGAGATGAGCGTGCTGGTGCCCAATGTGCGCGTGGTTCGCCCCGTCATTGCCGCTGCCCCCTTCTCCACAGAGCTCGTTCTTGACCGCCTGACGGAGGACGGCGAGAAGTGGGCGGAGAACGCCAACGTGGCCTACTTCATGTACCCGCTGCACGTGTCCTCGTGCTTTTTGGAGTGCACCAGCCTCACCTCTGCGCTGTACCTGCTGCTGCTGCGCTTCTTCCACCGCGACCACGATGACGTGGCCCAGCTGTCCTTTGCCATCGCCACGGACGCCGCCCTCTCCGTGGAGCAGGCGCAGATCTTCGACCTGCTGGAGCTTGCAAGCAACGACTTCCACCCAGACGCGCACGCCAACCGCGTGAAGATTGCGCTGGCCACTGCGGACAGCCCGATTGTGTGCCCATTCAACGTGGCCCTGGAGGCCGGGCGCTACCTGACCAAGCTGTACCACGTGTCCGCGCGCTGCCGCCTGTCCACGCAGGAGGAGCTCACGGCGCTGGACATGTGCGAGGTGATTGAGAAGAAGCTGAGCATCGCAAACTCCGTGGCGGAGACCTTTGACGAGAGCGCCCTCAGCAAGATCCTGCGCTTCCTCACCAGCGAGAAGGAGGCCGAGTTTGCCTCTGCGCAGGAGATGCGCGACGCGGACCGCTGCGTGAAGCTCATGGTTGACCAGGTGCGCGGGCAGATGGGCGTGGCCATCCAGAAGGAGGAGGCGGTTCGTCTGCTGCAGTCCGCAGCGGAGGGCGACGGCCTCCCTGCCGTCATGGCTGCCGTGTACAAGAACCGCAAGAGCTTCCTGGAGGCGCGCAGGAACAACCATGCCGAGGTGGCCTGCACCGTGCCGGAGCCTGTTGCTGTCGGGGAGTGGGTCTCGCACTCGGACAAGGTCGTGCTCACCGTGACGCGGCAGACGTGGAAGGATGTCAGCGTGCAGTACAACTCGCAGCCCTCCATGTCCAGCATTGCCTGCGTGGAGAAGGCCCTGGAGTTTTTCAGCCGTCACGAGTCCTTCTCCGGCTCCCGCTGCCGCTCCGGCTTCCTCTTCCTCTTTGAGGTCAGTGTGATGTGTGCGTGTTGTGTGGGGTTGTGTTGTGTTGTGTTGTGTGTGTGTGTGTGTAGTCTGCGTGTTGCTTTTTGTGTGAGGGTGAATTGGGAACTGTGTAACTTAGAGCGCACGCACGCACGCACGCATGCACGCACACACACACACACACGCACACACAAGCACACACACACACAAGCACACACACACAAGCACACGCACGCGCATACATGGCTGCAACCACTGACGTGACTTGTGTGTTCGCTTCACATGGGCCTTGTGGCAGGCGCTGACAGGAACGCTGAAGGTGAAGCTGCGCGGCTCCAAGCCGCACCTGTTTGTGCAAAACGTGATGCGCTTGATGGAGGACCATGTTACGGGCGGTCTTCTGGGTTCCATCATCCACGTCCTCGCAAACAACCCAGACCTCTGCTCAGAGGCCAGCATCAGGTATGCATGTGTGTGTATGTGTGTACGCGTGCATGTGTGTCGCGTGTGCGTTGTCTGTAATTGTGTGCTGCATGATCGACTCGCCTCCACTCGATGATGTTTCCTGCTGCTGCCTTTCATCCATCCTATCGTCCTGCTTGCTTGCTTGCTTGCTTCCCTTCCTGCGTTTATCGTACACCCAACCCGTTGATTTCCACACGAGATGTTCGACACACCCCTCACTGTTGCTTGTTCGTCCTCGCATTCCCACTCCCCACTCCCCACTCCTCGCCTCCCCCCCCCCCCTCTCCCCTTGTTTTCGTGCAGGTGGAAAGATACACGCAACATCAAGTCCACGTACATTCGTGCGCGTGGGTCTTTCCTCGAACCAGCCAACCCGCTTAGCGACCTCTTCCACAACGTCACCACCCTCATCAAGGCCAAGGAAGAAGCCGTGAGTTTGCACGTGTTTGCGTGCGTGTGAGTGAGTGAGTGTGTGTGTGTGTCTGTTTGTGTGTGTGTGTGTGTGAGCTTGTGTGTGTGCGTGTGTGTGCGTGTGTGTCGGTGTGTGAGCTTGTGTGTGCGTGTGTGTGTGCGTGTGTGTCGATGTACACTCGTGTGCGGTGCATGTGCGCTCTGTCTCCTTTTTTGTCAGTGCACACACGTGCTTGCTCTGTCTCCTTTATCGTGTCTTCATCATCGGTTAGGTTTTCTCATGCACAAACGTCTCCACCCTCTACCACTCACTCTCTTGCACCTTCTTTTCGTTTCTCTCCTCAGAACGAGCTCCATTGGCCCGCGCCACTCAAGTCGTTCCGCAAACTGCCCAAGGTGCCGACAAAGCTGGCGCTCTCCTCCATCCTGGCCACGCTGCCATCGTTCGTGCACACGCAAGGAGGGCTTGACACCGCGTCAGGTGCTTCAGGAACGGACGCAACCGCCACGCTCAAGGCGTGCATGGACACGGATTCGCCACCCACATACGTGGTCGCAGACTACATGCGCAGCAAGCTCAACGTGCTGCAGGCGCCAACAGCCATTGGCGGCACAGGCGCACCGAGCGGCGGCACCGCTGCCACCGCCCGCGTGCAGCAGATTCTGGCGAGCGAGACGCCAGAGGCGCTTCAGGCCCTGTGCGAGGACCTCCTCGCACCCGCAGACGCCGACGCGTTCATCTCGCGCGTGTCTCGCGACAGCGTCAAGGGCTGCCTGCCGTTTGACGCCACGCAGCACCCGCACGCCGCAGCCAGCATCTCCAAGACCACGCTCACGCGCCTGGAGCACCACATGCAGGCGTTTGCGGAAGCCTACAACAACAGCACCGTGCCCTACATCACCTGCGTGAAGAATCTGATTGCAGCGCTCGGCCCGGACGCCACCAAGGCGCCGTCAAGCGCCACCGGCATCACGGCCGCCGCGGACGAGGCGAAGAACACGCTGGATGGCCTCTTGCTGGCGCTGCAGTCCCTTAAGAAACAGGACAACGAGTACATTGACCGAGCCGTGGACGCCGTGACGGCGTTTGCAAACGAGGTTGCCGTGGGCGATTTGGCCTCTGTGGCCCTGCCGGAGGTCAAGCAGACGAGCACAGACAAGGCCTCAGCTGACGACGACAACGACAACGACAGCAACGCCGATGCAGACGCAAGTGCTGTCCCTGCTGGCCATGACAATGCCGATGCACAGCAGCAACAGCAGGAGCAGCAAGGAGAGCAAAGCGCCGCGCCAACAGCGGCAACGGCAGCAACAGCGCCGGTGTCTGAGGACGAGCACCACCGGCTGCTGTACCTGCTGCTGGTGGCCGGTCGCCAGCGCGCACCGCTGTGGTTTGAGTACATCATCTCGCAGCTGCTCACCACCAAGGGCGTGGAGGACCTGCAGAAGCTCAACCCGTTTCTGTCGGACGGCGACTGCATCGCCATTGAACAGATTACACTGCGCATCCTGCTGCGCTCCACACGCGTTGGCCTGGTCAACCGCTGCTTGGAGCTGTGCCGTGACGTGAGCAAACTCTGCACGCGCCTTGTCAAGGCCGCCGCCACCGCTGTTGCCGCATCGCCAGATGTTGCTGGTGGTGCGACAGATGCAGTGGCAGCGGTGTCGCGCCTGGAGAGCGTGCGCTCCGAGATTGAGATGAAGAGCATCAACCTGGCCACGTTCCTGACCACCAAGCGCCAGTATTCGGGCCTGCAGCCCACGGACGACGCAGGGGCGATTGCTGGCGCCGGTGCCTCTGCTGCCGTCACAACCGTGGACCCGCGCCTGGCCGTGTTTGAGTTCAAGAGCAACATTGTGCTGCGCGAGCGGCAGGTGCAGCTGGTGAACAAGTTTATGCGGGCAATTCAGGAGGAGCGCCGGGACGCCGTGGAACAGATGCTCATGGGCGCTGGCAAGACCACCGTGGTCACGCCCCTCATGTGCCTCATGCTCGCAGACACCACCCAGCTCGTCTCCCTCGTCGTCCCGTCTGCTCTCCTCGAGTTCTCCCGCAGCGTCCTTCGCTCCACCTTCTCAAGTGTGTGCGTGCGTGCGTGCGTGCGTGTGTGTGCGTGCGTGTGTCTTTGGCAATTTCTTGCTCTTTTTGCATGTTCTTGTCTTGCGCTGGTCCTGTCGTCGTTTGCTTGTTCGGTGTGTGAAAGGTTCCTCTTTGACGACACACGCTGTTTTCTTCGTTCACTCTGTCCCTCAATCTCGCTCACATTCGCACATCCATGCACACACACACACGCACACACTCACACACACACTCACACACTCACACACACACTCTCTCTCACACACACTCACACACACACACACACTCACACACACACTCACACACACACTCACACACACACACTCACTCCCTCTCAGGCATCATGTACAAGCGGGTGTACACACTCAACTTTGAGCGCGGCACGGCCATCGACTCTGGCCTGCTGTCCAAGCTGCAGCACGCACGGTCGTCTGGCGCCATTGTGGTGAGCACACCATCGGCCGTCAAGTCCGTCATGCTGAAACACCTGGAGAACATCCTGGTGGTGAACGACCCCGGTGAGAAGGACCGGCAGGAGCTGCAGCGCGAGGTGCGCACCGCCCCGCGGCTGCTGGAGCTCTGGCGCGAGGGCGTGTGCCTCATTGACGAGGTCGATGTCGTCTTGCACCCGCTCAAGTCCGAGCTCAACTTTCCCATTGGCCGCAAGGAGGACCTGGACTTTGCGCCCTTGCGCTGGCACCTGCCCATGCACATTGTGGACGCCGTGCTCGCCGTGTCGCAGGGGGTGTCGCCGCAGACCACGGGCCACAAGGCGCAGGCTGTGCTTGACAAGCTGCGGCGCGTGGTGCGTGAGGGCTACGAGCAGTGCTTTCTGCAGCGGCAGCCGCACCTCGTGCTCCTCAACTTGGGCTTCTACCACCGCAAGATGAAACCCATCCTGGCAGAGTGGGTGGGCCTGTGGCTGGCGCAGCAGGGCCTGGACATGATTGCGCACGGCGACGCGGTGCAGCAGTTTGTGGGTGGCGACAGGTACGGCCCCGCCGACCGCATCAACGCCCTCCCGGAGAAGCGGTTCATCAAGATGGTAAACCTGGCACACGACTGGCTGGCCAGCTTCCTCCCGCACTGCCTGCAGAAGATCAACCGCGTCTCGTTTGGCGTTATGCTCCCCTCAGACATCCAGAAGTTTGAGGACATGTCCACGCGCATGCCCCAGTCCCGCCGACTCCTGGCAGGTGAGAGGCGTGGATTTGGGAAGGTTGGGAGGGGGGCGCTGTTGGAGGATTGGAGGAGCGGAGGATTTGAGTTTTTTTGGAGGGACACCCACCTGTTTGCATGCGTGTGCTGTATGCCCATGTTGTTGTTGCTGTTGGTGTATCATGGTACATGATGCGTTGTGCTTGATATCAGTGAACATGTGTGTGAGTGAGTGTGTGTGTGTGTGTGTGGGTGAGTGTGTGAGCGTGCCTGTTGTATCCAAGCCCAGTGTCCTTTCCCCTCCCCTCCCCTCCCTTTGCCATTCGTGTACCTCATATGTGCCTGCTGTGTTGTTGCTGTTGCTTTGCGCGCTGCAGTGCCGTTTGTGGGCAAGGACGCACCCAGCACGGCGTCTGAGTTTGCGCACCCCGACGTGACCATCGGCCTGACCATCCTCGGCTACCGCTACCAGGGCCTGCGCACGTCAGACTTCAACGACATCCTGCAGAACCTGCAGTCGCAGTTCACGCGGGAGATGGGCCCCAAGGACCAGCGCTTCTCCTCCCTGCGCTACGCTGCCTGGATCAAGGCGGCCGGTGGCCTCGTGTGCGGCTCGTACCAGGAGCTCAAGGACAACGACACGGCCGCAGAGGTGGTGCTGCCAAAGGCGGTCGCCGTGCGCGCCTCGCACCGCTACTGGATCGACCAGGCCGGCGTTGTGCGCAGCTGCCCCGCCGTGTTCTTCTCCGAGGACGCCATTCAGCCGGACGCTGGGTCCTCGCCGCCAGGCACCGTCGTGGTGACCAAGCTGCCCAACCTGCAGCGCAAGCCGGGCTTCCGCTACGCCGTGAACGAGGACGGCGACGTCGTTGCCAGCCGCGTCAAGGTGGTGCCGCTGCACTTGCTCCGGCGCTCCGACGACATGCAGGTGAAGCCGCTGTATGCGCTGCTGCGCGAGCAGCCCGCCGTCATCCACGCCTACCTGGAGGAGACCATCTTCCCCGAGCACATGCGCCACAAGCGCTTCAAGCTCAGCGCCTCTGGGCAGGAGCTGGGCGGAAAGATGCTGTTTGGGCGCACCATTGGCTTCTCCGGCACGCCGTCGGACCTGCTGCCCGAGGACCTGGGCCGCTGCAACTTTGCGCAGGAGGAGGAAGGCGAGATTGTGCACACGCTCACGCGCCCGGACGTGGTGTCCTGCTCCTTTGTCAAAGAGAAGCAGTGGTCGGTGCACCGCCTGCTGCAGGAGATTGCGTCGTCCACGCAGCCCTACTTCAACGCGCTCATTGACACGGGCGCGCTCATCACAGGCATGAGCAACGCGGAGGTGGCGCGCTTCCTGCTGGCCAACGGCCTCTCCCAGCGCGGCATCGAGGGCGTCGTGTTCCTGGACGACCGCGACCGCAAGATGGTGCTCATCGCCGCCACCAACCGCGTCGTGCGCCTGTCCGAGTGCGGCATCGACAAGGACAAGCGCTTTGCCTTTTATGACCAGGTGCACACCACGGGCACGGACATCAAGCACATCCAGACGGCCACCGCCGCCCTCACCTTGGGCAAGGACATGACGCTGCGCGACTACGCGCAGGGCGCCTACCGCATGCGCGCCATTGGCAAGGGCCAGAAGATCAACGTGTTCATCACGCCAGAGGTGCAGGAGCTGATTGAGTCGCACATGGCCAAGGGCGCGCTCGACCAGGCCACCGCCGCGGCGCTTCCCTGGCGCGTCAAGGTCATCGGGTGGCTCGTGATCAACGCGCTGTTCACCGAGATGATCCAGCACAACCTGCTGCAGCTGCAGAACGCCGCCAACGTGTGGCGCAAGTCCGCCTTCCGCGCGCTCATGGACCACGAGAACAGGCTGTGCTCGCTCGAGGGCGTCGAGACTGCGGAGCCAGACCAGGCTGGCAAGAAGGGCGCAGAGGGCGACACGACAAGCGCAGAGGACAAGGACGAAAGCCAGCAGCAAGAGGACGGCAGCAAGGCCGTTGCCGCTTCCGATGACGCATCCAAGACGCAGGAGGATGTGCAAGAGCAGGAGCAAGCTGCCGATGCCGATGCTGGTGCTGATGCTGATGCTGGTGCTGACAACGCTGGTGGCGAGACTGGCGGTGAGCCCGAGCACAGCGACTCCTCTGAGGATGAGGAGGACGAAGAAGAGGAGGAGGAGCGAGATGCCGAGCTGGACGAGACAAACCGAAAGCTCGTGTCGGCGCTCAACGTGTTCCGCGAGTTTATGGACTTTAGCCTGCAGAACGCGGTGGTTCCGCCCGTGGACCTGCATGAGCTTGTGGAGACGCAGATGGAGGCGCGGCGGGAGTTTATCACGTCCGCCACCGCAGAGACGCAGCTGACCAAGGTGCTGGATCGTCTCAGCGCCCCGCTCCAGGAGAACATCATGCGCCAAAAGTCGTACGAGGCCCCACAGGTCAACCAGCTCGACCAAGAGCAGGAACAGGTGCGAATGTTGGTGTTGTGCTTTTGTTCTTGTGTGTGTGTGTGTGTGCTATATTGTGTGTACGTGTGTGTGTGTGTGTGTGCGCGCGCGTGTGTGCGCGTGTGTGCGCGTGTGCTATTTTGTGTGTGTGTGTGTGTATGTTCTTGTGCGCGTGCGTGTGCGTGTGCGTGTGCGTGTCTGGTTCTATTCGTAGTTTTGTGAGACACGTACACGCGCAGCTATACGCCCACAAACGTTTTTTTTTTTTTTGCTCTTGATCAGTTCCATCACGCCCTCTTTCTTTACCACGCTCACTCACCCCACCGAACGCCTTCCCCCAAAATCTCCGCATGTTCATACAGGAGCAAGAGCAAGAACAGGAGCAGGAGCAAGAGATTGAGATTGAAAAGTTTGTGGACCTGGCGTACTCGCGTACCAACGAGGCGCCCGTGCCGTGGGAGCTGGAGGAGCTGCTGGAGTATCCTCCCCGCGAAGAGGTGTTCTACCCCGCGTCCTCATTCTCCCTCTGCCGTCGCCCGTCCCTGGACATGCCAGACTTCCTGTACATGTCCAACAACTACTTCAACAAGCACTGGACCGGCTGGCGCCGCATCAAGAACGTCAACGTGAGCATGGAGTGCATCCCAGACGACAGCGACGCGCCGGACGCAGCGTGCACCCTGCCCATGTCGCCGCAACTCAGGGCCAGCGCCGTCTCTGCGCTCAGCCAGATGTGGCGGCTCTTTGACTCATCGGCAGCCACAACCACCATCCCCATGCCAGCGCCAGAAACCACCACACCCCAACAAGCGCAGCAAGCGCAGCAAGGGCAAGGCGCCGTGTGCGACGCCGAGACGGGCGTGTGCACGACCACGACGCCCACAAGCACGACGACGACGGCCACGAGTGCCGCCACCGCCTCAATCACTGGTGGTAGCGATGCGCCTGCAGAAGCGGAGCAGACAGCGACCATGGTGGTGGTGAGCGATGACAGCAGCATGCCTGCGTCGCAGCTGCGCGACCTCATGTTTGCATGCGTCAGCCCATCCGCTCGCACAGCCGACATCGAGGGCACAGTTGGCGAAGACAGTGACACCACCAGCAGCAGCAGCAGCAGCAGCAAGAGGAAGGGCAGTGGCGTGGCTGGCGAAGGCGCGGGCGCGGGCTCGAGCGACGACTATGCGCTGCACGCGCTGATTGATGACATGGTGGCCACGCTGACGGGCGGAAAGCCCGAGACGCCCGTGTCGTTCAAGCAGTTCCGCACGCTGCTGCTTGGCCCTGCCATGCGCGCTGTGCACAACAAGCGCTACACGACCGTGCTCTCCCTGGCCGAGGCGGAGACGATGCGGCGCATCCTGCACTTGAAACAGCACGCGTCCAAGGGCGCCCTGCTGCCCGGCTCACACTGCAGCGTTGCGCTGCGACTGCCGCTCTCCGGCGACCTCATCCTGGACCAGAGCGTGGGCCACAGCCCGCAGCCCACCTTCCAGCAGCAGGTCATCTTGCAGACGCTCAAGTTTTTCGACTGCAGCATGTACTACACGTCCACGCAGCTGCGCTCGCTGCTCTCCGCCATCCAGAGCAACGGCCTGGTGGAGCGCCAGGTGTTCTTTGAGAACGTGTTGTCGTGCCGCCGCCGCGCGAACCAAAAGTGGCAGGACACCCCGCTGGCCAAGGCGCTCGGCGTACAGACGGAGTTTGACATGATGCTGTCCTCCGCAGCCACGCTGGTGGTTGGCTCCACGCTCGCCTCCAAGGGCCTGCTGGTGCAGGAGGCCTTTGAGCTGTTTGACCGCAACAAGGATCACTACCTGGACGCGGACGAGGTGTACGGCATGCTCACCTGGCTCGGCTTCCACCCGACCGTGGACGAGGTGCTCAACTTCATCGAGGTCACCGACCAGGACGGTGACGGGCGCGTCAGCTACCACGAGTTTGTGCGCGGCGTGCAGCAGGTGCGCGAGCGCGTGGCCCTCTCCCCGGCGGCGCGCGTCGCCCTCTTCCGCGACCCGCAGACCATCGAGGTGCCCACGGCGGTTGTGCAGGACCTGCAGCAGGCGGCTGCGGAGCGCAGGCGCAAGGCCACGCGGCACGCCGCGGAGCTGGAGAAGCGCAAGAAGCAGCAGCTCAACGCGCAGCCGAGCATGGGCGCGGGCGAGGCGTCGGAGGCCCTGATCAAGGGCGACGACATGCTGGTGTACAGCTTGGAGTATGGCAAGATGCCACCGGGCATGCAGTGCATCAACGGCTCTGGCGACTTCAACATCACCTCGGAAGGGCGCAGGCTGCGGCGCGGGGCCGGTGGTCGGCGCAAGCGGCGCCAGCAGACCAAGGGCGGCAAGGAGGCCGAGCCCCAGGCCATCTACAACTTCACGCTGCCAAAGCAGGTGTTCCTGCGCATGCCCGTGCCGCGCAGCAGCGGCTCCAAGCTGCGCGAGTACACCATCACCCTGCAGCTGCGCCCACGCACGCGCCCCTCCTTTGCGGCTGGGCTCATCTCCCTGCCGTTTGTCAAGGCCAACGGTGACATTGGGTACCTGGGGGTCATGCAGGACTCCAGTGGCCGCATAGCGCTGCTGGAGGGCAAGGGGTCCAAGCTGCAGCCGCTGGACCCGCTGCCCAGGGCCAACCTCCACGTCGCACCAGCTGCCGACGCGCAGGATGATCGGACCAAAGTGAAGAAGAACAAGAAGGGGCACGAGGACGAGAAGGAAGAGCAGAAGACACAGGACAAGCAACAAGGTGCGCAGGCAGTTGCGAAGAAGGGAGATGGCGAGGCCACCAAGGAGGGTGGCGGCGAAGGTGCGGAGAGCGCAGACGCGAGCGACGCTGCGGCCTCTGCGGCCTCTGCTGCTGCCGAACGCGAGGCGGCCGTGCTGCAGGACGTGTTCAAGCTGGCGCCAGACACGTTTGCTTCCTACTACCGCAAGAACGAGGGCATCTCCGAGGCGCAGGCTGTGCTGGGCTACTTCCCCATGTTTGCCGGCGACGATGACGAGAAGGAGGAGACGCGCAACACCGAGTCTGTGCTGTACAACTGGAACATGCACACCATCACCATCGCCGTGAGCGGCACCACGGGCCACGTCCTGGTGTACGTGGATGGCCGCCCCATTGGCGTGTCGCAGGTGGAGCCTGGCCGCCTCTCCCTGCGGCCCTACTTGACCCTCCGTGGCCGTCCAGCAAAGACCTCCGAGAAGCGCATGGTGACGCTGATGGGCCACGCGCTGGACGACAGCTTCTCTGCCGGCGGGGACGTGGTCAAGTGCCGCTTCGACACGCGCATCCTGAGCGAGGACGAGGTGCGGCAGGAGCACGTGCAGGACGGGTGCTGGCGCTGCACGGAGTGCGCCACGTACAACCGCGTTGGCGCGTACCGCTGCATGTTCTGCGACAGCTACCGCAAGCGCAGCGCAAAGCCGCCGCTCAACAACGCCGACCCAGACCACCCCGGCCTCACCATTGTCGTTACAGACACGTTCAAGCAGCTGGTGCTGGACAAGACCAAGCACGTGTTCTTGGACGTGTACGCGGACTGGTGCGGTCCGTGCCGGCAGATGGCGCCGGCGTGGGCGCAGCTGGCCAAGCTGTTGGCGCACCGCAGCGACGTTGTCATTGCCAAGATGGACTCGGACCTGAACGTGGTTGACCGCTCGCTCCTGCCCGAGCGCAGCATTCCAAACCTCAAGCTGTTCCCCATGTCGGACAAGCACAGCCCAATACGGTACGAGGGCCCGCGCGACGTGCCGTCGTTCCTCGCCTTCTTGCAGAAGCACATTGGCCTGGATGTGGAGAACGTGCTTGAGACGTCGTACCAGGCGTACAAGGAGGAGCACAACGTGCAGCAGCTGCTGGACAGGATTGCCGCTGCCATGCGCACGTTCAACCCGCCACACTCGGTGCACTTTCTGCAAATGTACTTCACGGACCCGGACGTGTACGACGCAGCGGTTGACGCGGACGCCGTGCGTGAGCGGCCCGTTGCCGGCCTGGACATGGTGCTGGAGACGGTGGAGCGGTGCATCAAGCAGCAGCAGTCTGGGGATGACATGCGCATGCTGCACAACGTGTTTACGCTCACCGGCGGCCACCACCAGGACCACCAGGCGTCCGAGTTTGGGTTTGAGAAGCTGGACCTGACGGGCGTGGAGGCCATGTCGCACCAGGCCGTGCAGGTGGCGTGGGGCCGCATCGTGAAGGCGTTTGCTGTCGGTAAGCACCTTGACGATGACGACGAAGATGAAGATGAAGAAGACGCAGAGGTGGATGCGGACGAGGATGTTGACGCGAGCGCGGTGGCGAAGAAGAAGATGAAGAAGAACCAAGGCAAGAAGCAGGCAGTGCCGGCCACTGTCGGCGATGCCAGTGCCGCTGTTGCGGAGGCGCTGGGCGGCTCTGCCATGGTTGGGCAGCTGCAGCGCAAGGCGGACCGCGACGTGTGCAGCCTGTTCAGCAGCACGCAGGTGTACGAGAACGGCGACACGCTTGAGCTGACGCCACGGCAGCGGCTGGACAAGTTCAAGGCGCTGCCCAAGGTGACGCAGCACCGCCTGCGCCTGATGGCTGAGCTTGTGCGACAGGGGTACCCCTTGGACGCGCAGCCGTACGGCATGGGGGCGATCCACCTGGCGTGCCTGGCCAACGACCTGGCGCTGGTGGACTTCCTGTTCACAAACGGGTGTAACCTACAGGCGCAGAGCCGCGCGCTGCGTGGCCTGGCCCCGCTGGCGGTTGCGGGCTACTTTGGGCACGAGGCCTTGGCTGTGTACCTGCTGAAGATGCACGTGTGCATCGACAAGGCGCTGTACATGAGCGTGCTTGGCCGTCAGCCGCGCCTGCTGGACCTCATGCTGCGCATGCTTGGCGACGGGCCTCACGCGAACGTTCGCCTGGAGGGCGCCACCCTCCTGGATGCTGCTCTTGCCACAGACCAGCCCGAGCTCGCCCAGCACATCCGCTCCCTCGTGCGTATTGGGTCCTGCTTGCACTTGCTTGTGGATTTGCTGTGTGTTGCGTTGTTTGTATGTGTGTGTGTGTGTGCAGGAGTGTGTGTGTGTTTGTGTGTGTGTGTTTGTGTGCATGCGTGTGTGCGTGTGTGTGTGTGTGTGTGTGTGTGATTTGTGTGTGTGTGTGTGTGTGTGTGTGTGTGTGTGTGTGTGTGTGCGTGTGTGTGTGATTTATGTGAAGTTGTTTTGTTCTCTTTGCACGCGAGTGCCTTGGCCACAATGTGCTGTGACGATTGTGGTCCTCCTCACCTCCTCTCCTCTCCTGTCGTCACAGAAACCTTTTTCACCCCCTCACACACGTCCTCCCCCTCCCCACCACCACCACCACCACCATCACCACCATCACCAAACACAGGGAGGGCTGCGTGCTCGCGATGTGCGCAAGCGCCTGCAGAAGAAGAAGGGCGATGGTGAAGACGCTGGTGCACCCGCCACCGCCGCTGCCACAACACCATCTGTTGCTGCAGCTCAAGAGGTGGCCGAGGAAGAGCAGACTGCCGCTGCTGCAAGCCTGGACGGTGCAGTGATGACGCAGATGGAGATGCTGTATGGCGAAATGCGCTCCCTTGACGCCACCTACACCAAACTCAGGGAGCAGGGCGCCTCGAGCACGACCAAGGACGGCCTCGGCGTGTCGCTGCTGGACATTGCGTGCCTGTACGACTCAACTGCTCTGCTTGAGCGCGTGGAGAACGAGGAGAACCTGGACGTGGCTGCTGCCATCAGCGCACACCACCTACCGCTCATGGTGGAGGCCAACGTCTCCAGCGCACACGCCGTGCTCGCCCACCTCAAGCAGGCCGGCATCCTGGAAAGGTAGGCGTGGTCATGGTGGTGGCGGTGTGTGCGGGGGGAGGGTGTTACTTGTGACAGATGTGAACGTGGTTTTACTACAGTCCATGCATGTCTTTGCGGTTCACACACACATTTACACACTCAGAAACAACACTCTCACACTCACCCACTCACTCACTCACACACACACACTCACTCACTCACTCACTCACTCACACTCATACGCACATGTACGCGCGCGCGCACTCACGCTCATACGCACACATCTGCAGCGCTCGAGATGAGCAGAGCATGGAGTTTATGCGAACGTACTTGAGCGACGCGTTGGCGTCCCAGCGCACGCTGCTGACGACGCCTGCGACGGGAGATGTGCGTTCCTGGACCATCTACCCGTCCAGCGCCTTCTCCGACACGGGCCGGTACGTGGGCATGCCGCTGATGGTGAGCAACATCATTCCTTGCTCCAGCCCAGGCGCCTCTGGCATTCAGCTGCAGGACATTAAGCCAAGCAGCACACTGCTCGAGTTTGTGCAAGACCTCTCCTCCGTTCAGCTCTCACTTCCCCAGCCAGAAGAGTACGTTGCTTTGCGTTAATGTGCGTGTGCGTGTCTGCGTGTGTGCGTGTCTTCGTGTGTGCGTGTGTATGTGTGTGTGTGTGTCTGCGTGTGTGTGTGTGTGTGTCTGCGTGTGTGTGTGCGTGCGTCTGAGTTCACGTGCATCGTTGTGCTCTTCTCCTGTTGCTCGTACCTTAGACCTCACCTTCCTCATCGAGTCACTCACACCCTCACATATACACACACGCGCGCGCGCGCATCCGTTGCCCCTACATTTCAGGACACCGCCTGTGCTTGCGCGGTCTGTGAGCGGGGGTGCGGCGCTGCTGCGTCAGCTCTCCTCCTCGGACCCCTCCTCCTTCTTTGCCGACTGTCTGGAGATGGACATGACGTACGTATTGTGCGTGCGTGCGTGTGTGTGTGTGTGTGTGTGTGTGTGTGTGTGTGTGTGTGTGTGTGTGTGTTTTTTTTTTCTTGCTCGTGTGTATGGGTTTTGTCTGCCCTTTCAGTCGTTGCTGTTCTTCTTCTTCTTGTATCACCCCCCCCCCCTTCTCCTTCCCATTTCCACCTTTTCACCTCTTCCCGCGTCCACTCCCCCTCCCTTCCCCCCCCCCCCCCCAATCTTCCCCACATGTTGCAGGATTGCCATGAACAACGTGCTGTTTGATTCGTGGAATCAGCTGTTGGAGGCCGCCCGCCTGCTGCGCGTCGCCGCGACCTGGCGCTCTGCCGTGCTCACCCCGAGCCAGGCCATGGCCCTGTTCATGATCAACCACGACACGGGCCTCACCCGCCTGTGCCAGAAGGCGCTTCGGCTGTATGCGCGTCGACAGGACGAATTGTCCCGCGCCATCGTGTCCGCCGTTTCTGTCATGCTGCACGAGGTGCAGTCTGCACTCGACACGCTGCCGCCCATGCGCGGGTCTGTCGTCTACCGCGTGTGTGCGGTCCCGGACATCAAGCGCTTCTTCCGCATTTACCGCGAGCAGCGTACCGTGTTCTGGCCCGGCTTCGAGTGGGCCACGGCCTCGCCTGCCGTCGTGTACCGCCTCGTGGGCATCCTCCGTACGTTTTACTGAACATGTGTGTGGGGGGGGGGGGCTTGTGTACGTGTATGCGTTTGTGTATGTGTTTGTGAGTGTAGGCTCTTCTAAATTCCTTTTCGCTTCTGTCTGCAACCGCATCCGCTCTGTCCCTGTTGCTTACCATCACCACTGCCACCACTGCCGCTGCCACTGCCACCACCACTGTAGGCCAGCGGTTCCCGACATACCACATTGCTGTGTTGAAGATTCACACCAGCAACGCCCGTGACGTCACCACTTTCGCCCCATACGGCAACCAGCTCCACACGGTTCGTGCTTTGTGTATTTGTGTGTGTGTGTGTGTGTGTGTGTGTGTGTGTTTTGTTGGTTGGTTGGTTGGTTTGTTTGTTTGGTTGGTTGGTTGGTTAGTTTGCTAGTTTGTTAGTTTGTTAGTTTGTTGGTTTGTTGGTTGTTTGTTTTGTTGCTGCGGCCGAATTATCCCCCGCCCCACCTAACGACTCTCCTCACCACTCCACTCCACTCCCCCTCCACTTAACTTTACTTCTTTCCTTCCTAATGACTGTCTCTGTCTGTTTCCGCAGGCCATGTTCCCGATTGACACGAGCGTGGTGGTGACTGGCTACTACAAGTTTTCAAACTTTGCCCTTGAGGCCGGCACGTCGCACCTGGTGTGTGTGTGTCTGTGTCTGTGTCTGTGTGCGTGTGTGTGCGTGTGTGTGTGTCTGTGTGTGTGTGTGTGTGTGTGTCTGTGTCTGTGTCTGTGTCTGTGTGTCTGTGTCTGTGTCTGTGTCTGTGTCTGTCTGTTTGCTTTGACGTGCCATCTTTCCCTTCCTCCCCTTTCCGTCACACATATGCAACCAACCAACTCACTCACTCACGTACGCACGCACCCACATGCATCTGCAGCACCCGTCACTGCACAACATTGAGGAGTTTGCAGGAAAGCCAATGAAGAAGGGCGCGGTGATTGACGCCAAGGAGCCAAAGACTTTTGTTGTCACCGTCAACGAACGCGCCAACTAATGTCACGGCATCCCCCACCTGGCTGGCGCCCCTGGTCCTTCATCCAACCCATTGATACCCACGCCATCCACCATCATCACCCATCAATCATCCATCAAATGAGTTTACCCACCGAGCTTTTGTTGTTGCATGCGCTGGACCTCCTGCTGTTCACTCTGTTTTGTGGTGGTGTTTGTTACTCGCCACCTGTGCTTTTTCCGCACCGCCTGTGTTTTTCTTTTCCACCGTTTCTTGCCTGCTTCTATTCTGTGTCTTGCTTCCTTTGACTGTTGCTCGTCGCTTTTCCTTGTCTCTCTGTGTGTGTTGTGCACCCCCCCCCCGCAGCCAAACACCTCCCTCCAATCCATCAGCCTTCGTTCTGCCACCCATACACACACCCACACAAGCGACTCAAGACTCGGCATGACAACAATGGGTGTTTACTTGGCTGCCTGTTGGCTGTGCAGACACAGTCTGCTCGCAAGGCATCGAAGGTGCAGGCAAAGGGGCAAGCGCAAGCAAGACGAGGAGGAATAAGAAGGGGATAAGGCGGTGGTCGATAGCAGAGACACGATGGTGTGCAACAACAACAGCATACCCCAAAAAGAAGCAAGCAAGGCGCACTTCTTGCTGAGAGGGGGGGGGCTGATGTGAAGAGGGCAATCAAGCAAAGAAACATACCATGTGGCAACGCACTACTTGCCTACAACGAAAAGCAACCGACCATAGACCACAAACAGCGGGGGGTGTAACAATGACAACCCTACAACCCGTGGGAGGGAGGAAAATAACAATTCAAAATACGGTCAACACGTGCTTGGCAGTAAGATGCCAGAGGGGTTTGAGAAGAGAGCAGCGTGGTGTACACATCTATACACAACACATGGTGAACATATCTATACACAACACATTCACACGCGTACACTGCATGCATGGCTTGGGCGCAAGGGAAACAGGCGAAAATGATACAGGAGAGACACAACCCATCCAGAAAGAGAGAGAGAGAAAGAACCATGAGATGAATGGCAAGAAAACAGAAAGGAACAGAGGTGACATTCCTTCATGCACGGCCGGATGGATAGGTGGGAGGAAAACAGGTGCAATGACCAGTACGTGCCGTAACACTAACAGACACATATGCACACACGCTAAACGCGTGTACGCACCACACACACAGACACACACAGACACACACAGACACACACAGACACACACAGACACACACACACACACACACACAGACACACACACACACAGAACAGCACAAACTCTCACACAGCACACACACACAGAACAGCACAAACTCGCTCACTCATTCACAGACATGCACATGCGCGCCTCGTCGTCACATGGTGCTGGTGCGGTGAGGAAAGGCACCCGGCAGCCTGTCTGGTGAGAGCAGGTTCGCTGTGCGGGTTGGAGAAGGCGGCGCGTCAAGATGGCCGTACGTTTCGTGGTGCGCCTTTGTGGTGCTGCTGCCAGCCGCGGCAGTGACGTCGACAATCTGCAGCAGGCCCAGGTCCTCGTGGCGCTGGTGCGGGTTGGCCTGGTTGCGCGAGGGCAGCAGCGGGGCAGAGTCGACGGATGCCGTGTCCGCTGCTGGGTCGGCCATGGAGAGGAAGAGGTCATCCACGGAGCGCCAGTGGCCAAGGTGCTGCGTCTCGTACTCCAGCTGGCGCAGCGCGTCGGAGGTGAGCGGCGTCTGCACGATTGGCGGGGCACAGGAGGAGGAGCGGGAGCGGTTGCCTGCAAGCATGGGAAGGGATCGGTTCATGGTTGCGCTGCGGCTGAGGGCAGCCTTGGGCCTGTTGGCCGGCGTGCCTGCGTGCTGCTGCGTGTAGTTGTAGCTGTTGCGGTTGCTCGGGGTGAGGTTGTTGAAGTTGAACGCGGATGTGGTTGTGTTGTTGAAGGACGAGTGGTGGCAGGTGCTGGGCTTGGCCGTGGCGACACGGGAGGCAGGCGTGTTGTTGAGGTTGGTGGTGGTGGGGCTGCGCGGCAGCTCGGGCATCAGAGCGGACCGCTGGCGGGACATGTGCGGTGTTGCTGGACGCGAGATGGGAAAGTGGTCAATGTACCGGGAAATCACATGCGACAGGTACGTTTGGGACTGGTGGTGCTGCATGCCGAGGGGGCTTGGGCTTCGGGCGCGCGCTGTGGCCTGCTCTCCGTTGCTGTGTTCGCCCGTCCCGCGGCGCTGCTTGCCAGAGTCACCGCTGCTGCGGCCCTGATGGCTCTCCTGTCCATCCCCGCTGCCAGACATGGCTTCCTGCAACGAGAACATGGCCGGGCTGCGGCTGTTGTGGGGGAGGGAGACGAGATGTGCAGATCGAGAGTGTAAGAAGAGAGTGTGTGTGTGTATGTGTGTATGTGTGTGTGTGTGTGTGGGGAGCGAGTACGATCGAGGCGCACTCATAAGCAGATGCTCGCTTGCTTGCAGGCACGCAATTGACAAGAGCAAAGGCAACACATGACGCGACACCAAGCAAGCAAGCAGGCAGGGGAATGCTCCTTTGAAAAGAAAGCCAGGCAAACCACCACCACCACCACTACGCAAAGCATCAACACAATTTGTGAGCAACCAACCTTGCCCTGTTGAAGGAGAGCGTCGAGTCTGAGGGGTGGAGCTGATGGCGAACGGACAGCGTGGTGGCCCGGGTCGTGAGCATGCTCGAGGGAGAAGGCAATCCAAGTTGCTGCTGCTGTTGCGCATCGCTGTGTTGCTGCTGGTGGTGGTTGTGGGGGAGGGAGTTGAACTTGTGGCTACTGCGATGGCTTGCGCGCTGAGTGCGCAATGTGGGCCGCAGGTTGGCAGGCAGTGTGTTCGACTTGGAGCGAGGGCGCTGCTTGAGCTGCTGTTTGTTGGCTGCGCTTGCTGCGGCGGTCGGGGACGACGCTCTCTGGTGATGCTGCCGGTGGGGTGAGGTGCCCAGCGGAGACACGCAGCGCTGCGGGGTGGCCACGCGCGTTGGGGAGCCGAGCAGGTCCGGCGACGTCTTGGGCATGCTGTGCGCGTTGTTGTTGTTGTTGCTGTTGGCGGAGTTGTGGAGGAGGAATGGCATGCGCTGTGCTGCGCTGCTGGTCTCTCTGGGCACCGTGGTCACGGTGAGCATTGGCGGGGCCGGTGAGATGTTGAGAGGAGGAGGACCGGGGTGAGCCTTGCCGGTCTTCTTTGGGGTGCGGGCGCGTGCCTGCGGTGATTTGGGTGGACGCGCGGCGTCTGTGCCTGAAGAGCCCGTGTGCGAGTTATCGCCAAAGAGCTCCGAGGACATCATCGTGGCAGGTGTGGTCGATCAAGCGAGCACTTGTTGTTGTTGTTGTTGTTGTTGTTGTTGTTGTTGTTGTTGTTGTTGTTGTTGTTGTTGTTGTTGTTGTTGTTGTTGTTGTTGTTGTTGTTGTTGTTGTTGTTGTTGTTGTTGTTGTTGTTGTTGTTGTTGTTGTTGTTGTTGTTGTTGTTGTTGTTGTTGTGAGGTAGAGGGCACTTGTTCTTGGAAGGGCTTGCTTGGTGAATGGAAGGCGGCTCAAAAACAAAGGCTGCGATGCTGGCTGTGTGGCTGGACTGGAACGAATGAACGAATGAATGAATAGAGACACTCTGAGCAGCGGGTGCGCGCTTTGGTTTGCAGAGGCGAGGCCGTGGTGATATGCGGTGGCGGTGTTGGTGGTCGTGGTGATATGCCGTGGCGATATGCGGTGGTGGTATGTGGAGATGGCCCACACGCGCACGCGAGGAGAGGCGGTGGGAGCGGAAGCAAGGGGGGGGGGAAGAGAGAAAAATGGCTCGGTGAGAAAGATGTGGTCGAGCAACACAAGCACGGCCGCACGTCGATATGTGTCGTGAAAAACAAATTGGAGCAGAGGGGGCCAGCAAGACGAGCGAGAACGTAAGGTGGTATGCGTGTATGTGTGCTTGAGAGTTCGGGAAGTGGGGAAGAGGAGAGCTATGCGTGTTGGGTGTGTGAGATGGAGCTGGGGATGGTTGTGCTGCTGTGGAACCTGGGATGCTGGCGGTGGCGGTGGGTTTGGGGGGTTTGGGAGGTGGGGTGCGCACGATGCAAGACGGAACAGTGGAATGCTTGGCTTGGTAATGACGCGTGGGTGTGGTTATGTGATGTGTGATGTGATGTCAACCAGGAAATGGCCGCTGCGGTGGTGGCGGTGGTGGTTGTGGCAAAGCTGGTGGTGGTGGTGGATGACGCAGAGCAAGTGGGCCTGCGTGTATGGCCTGGGTCTGTGTGGTTGCGTGTAGGTGTGGGGGTGCTGTGGTCGTGGTGCTGGCGGTGCCTTGGCGGTATGTTTAGCTGGGGAGGGGGGGAGGTTTAGGGTGTCTCATATGCAAGCTGGAAGGTGAAGCAAGAAGAAGGTATGATGGTCATGTATGTCGTTGCATCGACGGCTCACCTGAGAGAGACGGAGAGGTTTGGTCGTGTTGGGAGTTCTGTGAATGGTGTCGTGGCTCGGCCGGGTGCAGGTGGCTGGCGGGATAGGCAGGCTGCGCGCGGTTTAACACAGTGTGAAGGCGAGAGTTGAAGCCGTGTTTCGGGCGTGTGAGTGGGTTGGCAGTTGGTTGTCAATGGTTGGCGGGTGGCGATATGGGGGGTTGTTTGGTGTTGCTTCAGGCCGTGGTGGTCCTTTGCGTGTTTGTGTTCTTTCTTGCTTGCTTCTTGTGTTGCTCGTGGAGAAGGACACAAGCACGTCGGCGTGATGCGATGTGTGAGAAAATGCATCTTCCGTCTTCGCTCGCGACCAACCCATTCCAACCCACCCAGCTGCGTTGGGGTGTTTCGGTGGTGTTGGTGCTGGTGCAAGAAAGCATGCAGCAACGACGACGACGACGACAGAAGAAGCGGCTTGACAACAAGCACGGCTGCTGTGGCTGCTTGGCGGTGGGTTGGGTTTGTTGTGGCGGCAACAACACGAGGACACAACGATGTTTTGGGGAGCACTGGCGATGTCGTCGGCGATATGACGCGTTAAGGATTGGGTCACACACACAAAGCAACGACCCAAGCCCAAAGTTACGAGCGAGACGCACGGAAGTTCCCATCACCAACAGCAGTGCGATGCGCGGGAAGTGAAGTGGTTTGCCCTTGTTTGTCACGCACGATGCAGCGCTCTTTTGTGGTGAGGAGGGTTGGGGCACCAAAAAGGCCACGACCCGAACCGCGACACATGACGCAGGACGTTTAGGTGGTTTGTCAGGCAACCAACCTCCACGTTTTCACGGCGCCCGTGGAATCCACTTCACGAACGCGTGCGTGGTGGTTGGCTGGGGTGTGCTGTGGCTGTGTTTCTTTCCCTTTGTTCTCTTTCTGTCTCTTTGGTTGTTTGTGCAGTTGCTGTTGAGAACTTGGTGACGTGAACGCCTTCCTCCCTGACCACCATCATCACGTTGGTTGGGTTTCCGTGCGCTTCTGTTGCTTCTTTCTACACTTTGGCAAGTGCCTTCGCCACTTTGCACGTTTGTCAGCCTCGATACGCCAAGCACCGCTCTAAACGTGAAGGTACGTGCGGGCGGGTTGTGTCATGTCACATCAAATCATGTCACACATCCCCGACACCAAACGAGAAACGACTTTCGCATGTTTCTTGCTTGGAATGCGCGCGCGAAAGAACACAACAGAACACACATCGCCACCACGTGTGAGTCCTACTTCGATTCGGGTTTTTCGTCAGGGATAATGCGCGGGGTTTTTGCTGACTCAGCGTTGTTGTTCGTGTGGGGGTTTTTTTTGGTCAGCCCCAACCAGCCAGCAGACAGACAGAAAACCAAAAAAAAAAAAGAAAGAAAAATCTTCTGCTCCCCGCAACGAGCAGCCAGCAGCAACGGTTGGCGAGGCGATTGGTGAGGGGGAGATGACGGATGGGTGTGGATGGTGGTGGTATTCCGCGCTGCTTGTGAGTGTGTAAGAGCTGTTGTGTGTGTGTGAGTTGTGTGTGTGTTGTGTGTGTGTATGTGTGTGTATGTATGTGTATGTCGCCTGCCCTGCTCTGCCTGCCCTGCCCTGCCCTGGCCGTGGGAAAGGTCCCACGTACACACACCCACGCACACAGCCCATGCATATCCACATGCACATGCACATGCACACGGACGCAGTGTCTATCCACTTCATTCTGTGTACACAACGTCACAAACACAAATCACATCATCCGCACTGTCGTCCCTGACATTTTCTCACTCACTCACCCCCCCCCCCCTCCCAACACATACACACACGCAACGAACGAACGAACGAACGAAACATCATCCTCATTACACGCACACACCAGACCAACCGTGCATCACATCATCCGCCTCACGGGCGTTGCCGCAATTTCCCTGACCACCAGGTGTGTGTGTGTGTGTGTGTGTCGACTGAAGGCAGTGCGTGGCTGCCATTGCCTCGCTTGCCTTTGTGAGACACGCAAGTTGTGCCGCAGCCCAGCTGCAGCAACGCATTCTCAAAGCTCACTTTCCTCCGCGCCACCACGCTGTCCATCGACGCTTGCAGAAAACTAGCCCTTCCCTCTCCTTTACCCTTGCATCGTCAAGGCCACACCAAAGCAGGGGCACACAGGTGGGTTGGTGAAGTTATGTTATGTGTGTTGTGTGTTGCGTGTGTGTGTTGTGAGTGTTATGTTTGTGTGTGTGTGTGTGTGTGTGTGTGTGTGTGTGTGTGTGTGTGTGTGTGTTGTGTTGGCGTGTCGATCGATTGGATGCGTGGGCGATCGAGATGGCGTGAGGTTGTGTGGAAGGCACTCCAGAGTGAGCGCATGGCAGCGTGTGATTCCCACCCACCCCAACCACACAAATGACGCCACCAGCCATGCCACCACCCTAACGTGCAAGGTGGCACACGCACGCACGTTTGCTGTTTGTGTCGTTCGTTGCCTCCCTTCGCTGCCTTCCTCCATATTGCCAACTTGTGCCCATACTTGTTGCCCATTTGTCGCCTCTGTCGCCTCTGTGTTCTTTTCGTCTCCTTTGCGTGTCTTTCGTGCCCCTCCTCCGTTTCGCGCCCCTCCTGCGTTTTTGCTCTTCTTTCTGCGGCTCGTCGGCGCGTCGCCTCTGCTTCCCCCCCCCCCTCTCTCTCTCTCTGTGCCCACTCTCAATTTCAACACACCGTTCCCACCGCTCCCTGTTATGTATCACTCCCACCACCTTGCACGCCACAAGCACCACCACAACACCAACGACACCAACGACACCCTCACCTCCACCACAAAAACAGCAGCTGCAACTGCCACAATCGCAACAACCACAGTAGCAACAACTGCAGCAACCACTATCACCCTGACTCCCACTCCCACTCCCACTCCCACAACTGCAGCACCCACCACCCCCAAACACGCGCGCTCACACGGCCACCACACCCCCACCAAACGCCTCCCTCGCAAAAGCTCACTCCGTCGTGAATCCGCCTCTTGCGTGCTTCCGCCGCTTGTCGATCGCTCCCCACACCACAAACGCCCTTCGACCCACGTCTCGCTCCGCCCGCGCGCTGCCACAGGCCGTGAGCACACGTCCCCGAGGCTTCCTGCAGCAACACGCACCGGGCGCTCCCACTCTCTGGCCCTTTCGCCACAACCACCACCACCACCACCACCAACAGCACCAACCAAACACCAGCACCAACAGCAGCACCAGCAGCGAGCCATGGAGCTTCGCGTGGGTACCAAGTACCGCATTGGCCGCAAGATTGGCTTTGGCTCCTTTGGTGACATCTACATTGGCACAGACATCACTACGGGCGAGGAGGTGGCCATCAAGCTCGAGAACGTCTCCACCCCGCACCCGCAGCTCCAGTACGAGTCAAAACTCTACAAGATCCTCCAGGGCGGCGGTGCGTCCATACTCTGCGGAGTGTGCGTGGTGGGAGGAGGGGAGAGAAGGGAGGGGAACGTTAGAACATGCATGTGTGCGTGTGCGTGTGTGCGTGTGCGTGTGCGCGTGTGCGTGTGCGTGTGCGTGTGCGTGTGCGTGTGCGTGTGCGTGTATGCCTGGTAATTGTTTGTTTTCTTTGAGTCTTGTTCACGTCTGTTGCGTGGTGTTCTGCCTGTTTGTGTTTTGGCACTCACGTTTGCTGTGACGCCTAAATCTCACGACCGTAACCATGCGCTATGTTGGCCACCGGCACCACGCAGAGGGCATCCCGCAGCTCAAGTGGTATGGCGTGGAGGGCGACTACAATGTCATGGTGATGGAGCTGCTTGGGCCGAGCCTCGAGGACCTGTTCAACTTCTGCAACAGAAAGTTCTCCGTCAAAACCGTATTGATGCTCGCCGACCAAATGGTGCGTGAGTTGTGTTGTGTTGTGTGGTGTTGTTGTGTTGTGTTGTGTTGTGTTGTGTTGTGTACATCGTGTGGTGCGGTGTGTCGTGTGGTGTTTCAATTTTTGCATCTCACTGCTGCCGGTGGCTTGTCCGTTCATTTCCCCGTCCCTTCTTGCTCATGCCGCTCCTGACCTTGTGCTGATAGATCAATCGCATTGAGTACGTCCACAACCGCAACTTCATCCATCGTGATATCAAACCCGACAACTTCATGATGGGCCTCGCCAGGAGGGGTAACCTGGTCAGTCGAGTGTGTGTGTGTGTGTGTGTGTGTGTCTGTATGTCTGTGAGTGTGAGTGTGAGAGTGTGCGTGTGTGTGTTGACGCATGCATTGTCTCTTCTTAACCCTCCCTTCTCCGCTTCTGTGAAGCACGTACATTTCCACAACTCACACAACGTCCCATAACCCATCACCCCCCCCCCCCCTTTCTCTCTCTCTCCTTGCCGCAGGTGTATCTGATTGACTTTGGCCTGGCCAAGCGCTACCGCGACTCGCGTACGCATGCGCACATCCCCTACCGCGAGAACAAGAACCTCACCGGCACCGCCCGCTACGCCAGCATCAACACCCACCTCGGCATTGGTCAGTGCGGCCACACCTGCTTGCTTGTATTGGAAGAAGAGGGGAGAAGCAGGGGGGGGGGGTTGTGTGCTTTGCAATCTCGTGTGTGTGTGTGTGTGTGTGTGCGTACAGCCGTGCGTACAGCCGTGCGTGCAAATGCGCTGCCGTTGCTCGCTTCTGACGTTGTCATCTCGGCCGTTTGCTTTGTCGTCTACTTCATATGCTGCGCGGTACAACTGTTTTGCGGTGGTCAGAGCAAAGTCGACGCGACGACCTGGAGTCGCTTGGCTATGTCCTCATGTACTTCAACCGCGGCAGCCTCCCCTGGCAGGGACTCAAGGTCAGCGCCGTGTGTGTGTGTGTGTGTGTGTGTGTGTGTGTGTGTGTGTGTGTGTGTGTGTGTGTGTGTGTGTGTGTGTGTGTGTGTGT